ATCTGGGACAAATATGTGAAAGTTTTTTTTTTCTTTTTTCCAATATCTTAATTAAAAAATATATATATATATATATATATATATATATATTAAAAATGGTCAGGGTGAACTGTTCTGATACCATAATGAAGACATTTTTTTTTGCAAATAACACCTGATTTGACATTATCTATATATATTTTTAAACGTATTTAGAATAAATTAAATGAACAAAACTGCTTCATTGTTTATTATTTTTTGAAATTGCACAAAATGCAAGACTAAATTCATGTGGTGCAACCAACATGCAGAAAAAAAGAATGTGAAAATAAAAACAATTACTTAAAAAAACAAAGAAAATAGCAATTTACATCATATATTGTGTGTCTGGGCCAATACATCTCTTAAAATATTAGATAATGTCACCTTTTTTATGACCAGGCAAGTTTAGATTAGGTTGTAAAATGTCATGTGGTGCGACTCCCCAAAAACCCTGAATAATTCATGATATTTACATTTATATATATTGAAAATAGTGTTATTTTCCACCATAATTTGCAAATAAATTCTTTAAAAATCCTACAATGTGATTTTCTGGATTTTTTTTTCTCATTTTGTCTCTCATAGTTGAGGTATACCTATGATGAAAATTACAGGCCTCTCTCATCTTTTTAAGTGGGAGAACTTGCACAATTGGTGGCTGACTAAATACTTTTTTTCCCCACTGTAATTTGCTTTTATCGAGTATTCCTCAACAGTACAGATTTCTCATCCCATGGCTTTCCTCAAGCCCCTGAGCGCGGTTTATGCTCAGCAGAGATCCTGTGGCACATCCTTGTGTTGAATGACATTCCACTCAGCCAAATTCCCTGCTTGGCTCTTCGGACTGGCTTTGAATCAGCCATTCAGCGAGGTTTGGTCTGGTGCCACGTTTGTCAAGATGGCTTTGTCCGGGATTTCCATGTCTGCTTCAGCATGCTCTTCAGCCATTGGCCAGATTGTTTATTCCCTGAATAGTCATCACATCTGTATGCCTGATTAAAACAGCTAGTGAAGGACTTTGACTCAATGTTGAGCAGATGATGTCAGTTCATGAAGCCAAATAAATCCAGATATTTACCAGAATACTGAGACTAGTCATAGAATGTTATAATAGATTGGGTTAGCACGGCACATGATCTTTATGTTTTTGCCACATATAGCAGGGCTGAATGTGTTTCCATGACTTTCAGCATAGAACAGCGGCACAGATTCCAGTGACAGTCCCCTCTGGAGAAACCTGGGTTTAAGTGCTTTGCTAAGGGGGACCGGTGGCGATCGTTCTCCTTGTGGGGAACAGAATTGGGTTTCTTTAACTTTAGGTTGTACTTTATGCCCCAGGGGTTGATTTTATTAAAACTAACAGATTTCAGCTTTTTCTTTTGTTATATGAAGTTCATGTTTAACTCTTGGTAACTTTTTACCATGCTTTTATCATTTATGTTTGCTACTTTTCAATGGCACTCACTGCATGTACAATTTTATTATACTTTTTTTTATTTTATTCTTGTGCCAGATTTTCAATATTAAAATGCATCATGAAAATATGAATTATTACATTTTTCAAACTAAGATAATGGAATCAGAGTAAAATAATCATAAACTATTTTAATATTTATAGTGAAACTATTTATAATATAATTGATCATTTATTTATTTATTTATAGTTTTTTTCATCATAATTTCCACCAGAAAGTGTGTTTTGTTACCAAGGAAAGAACAACGTCAGTGAAGAACTTGAGATGAGATATTATGTATGTGTAAAGAAAATAAGGAGGGTACACCATTCAGTCAGGTCAGTAAGATTTTTTAAAACAAGAATTTTATTCAGCAAAGATGTCTTAAATTGATCAAAAGTGACATTAAAGACATTAAAATGTTATAAAGGATTTCTGTTTAAAAAAAATACTGTTCTTTTGAACTTTTAATTAATCAAAGATTCATTAAAAAATGAATCATGGTTTCCAAAAAATATGAAGCAGCACAACTGTTTTCAGCATTGATAAGAAATATTTATTGAGCAGCAAATCAGCCTATTATAATGATCATGTGACACTGAAGACTGGAGTAATGATGCTGAAAATTCAGCTGCGCATCACAGGAATAAATTACATTTTACAATATATTCAAATAGAAAACAATTATTTTAAATTGTAATAATATTTCACAATATTACAAATAAATGCAGTCCTAGTGAACATAAAACATAAAAAAAATCTTACCAACCCAAAGAATAGTGTAAAAAATCAAGGTAAATATAATTTTGAGCAGAATATTTTTTATTGTGTGTCATTTCCAGTCAAGTTTGGATTGTCCAATTGTGTCGAATTATATAGAAAAAAGTAAAATTATTGTTTCATTTTATGTATTTAGGATACATAAAATTCAATTCAAAATAGCAATTCATTTAACCATAGCATTTTTATTCCATAACCATTGTATTCCAAAAATTTTCAAATGTTGAGATGTGGTGGAAATTTCCATTATGTTCAGGGAAGAAAAAAAATCTTATAGTATTTGGAATGTTTTTTTCTGAATCTCTTGATGTGTCGTACATGATACATAATGCTAATTTTCTGTATATCATTGGCTGCGATCTGAAAGGTCAGTAGCGAACGGGGTCAAAGTCGAGCTGTAGAGTTACAACTGAAGCTTGAAGGCTGACTCCACTGAGTTCAAAGCACTGGGGACCGTTGAGACGAGTCATATGAGCGGTCGGTACTGTAGTGTAGTGAGTCTGGATGAGAGCAAGTCATTTTGAGGTTTTGGAACATTAGGGTCAGGTGGGTTCAGGAAAAATCATCTACGTCCCCATCCTCCACTCTGATCTGCAGTAGCAGGTGTGCATACTAGGTATATTCCAGAAGACAGTAATGCAAATCAAACACGATTGTCATGCTTACAACTGGCACAATCTTAGGTTCAGTCTGTGACTTATGAGCTCAGTTCTTTGCGAAGTGCTTGCGATTTTAACATTTCCTTTAGGTCCCTGTCAGGTCATAGAGATCTTTCATGGTCTAAAGCTTGATTCAACGAGAAAATATGTTTATCTTGTGCATGTGGGACTCAGTTTATTTCAATAGACTGACAAGGATGCTTATGTATCAAAGTAGCGCTATGGACGATTCCTGAAGAATTCTGCAAAGGTTTGCTCTATACTTGACATGGACTTATGAACTTGAGGGTTTTCTTTTTTTGCTGATCTGTCATCATATTTCATTTTACATTTATGAAACCTCTCAGAGTTCAGCAGCCTGATGGAGGATAAGATGTGGCTGCATCAGTTCAAACATTGCATTTGCAGTGACATAATTCAAGGTCACTCGGTCCAAATCACAGAAATGTTGTCTATTTGGTTTGACCAAACCATTCAGGGTTAAATGATTTTTGGTGGCTGCTTCTTTTTGAGTAATAATAATAATAATAATAAAAACACAGCGTAGTTCAATTCTCACACAAATGACTTTTCAAAACTGGTTCTTTTAGTGAATCAAAAACATACAGCACAACTAATAATCCCATTCCTGAAAGAATGACTCTTGTGAGCCATTTTTTTTTTTTATGAATTAAAAAATTTAAACACGAACAGTGCAGTCTGATTCCTTATGCATGACTCCAAGTATCCGGTTTGTTTTAGTGAATCAGATGCATTAAAACACGACCAGTACAGTCCGATTCACAAATGAATGACTCTAATGAGTTGATTCATTTTAGTGAATCAAAAACATACAATGCCTGAACAATAACACCAATAAGTCAGTTATTTTAGTGAATCAAAAACAGGGTGCAACTAGTGTAGTCCAATTCCAAATAAATGACTCATGTGAGCCAGTTCATTTTAGTGAATCAAAAACATAAAACACGACCAGTACAGTCTGATTCACAAATGAATGACTCTGAGTTGATTCTTTTTAGTGAATCAAAAACATACAATACCTGAACAATGACACCAATAAGTCAGTTATTTTAGTGAATCAAAAACAGGGTGCAACTAGTCCAATTCCAAGTAAATGACTCTCGTGAGCCAGTTCATTTTAGTGAATCAAAAACATAAAACACGACCAGTACAGTCTGATTCACAAATGAATGACTCTGAGTTGATTCTTTTTAGTGAATCAAAAACATACAATACCCGAACAATGACACCAATGAATCAGTTATTTTAGTGAATCAAAAACATAAAAAAACGACCAGTACAGTCTGATTCACAAATGAATGACTCTAATGAGTTGATAATTTTTAGTGAATCAAAAACATACAACACTACCAGTGTTGGGGAAAGTTACTTTTAAAAGTAATGCATTACAATATCGCGTTACTCCCTTAAAAAAGTAACTAATTATTTTAGTTTTAGTTGAAACTAAAGTTCTTTAGTTTTTATTTAAAGTAATGTGTTGCGTTTCTTTTGTGTTACTTTTTAAATCTGAGCTGGGCTTGCTTCTTTGTTTTTAATATAAAATGTTCTAAATGTAAAAGCCCTTAAAATAATAAGAATAGTACGTAGAAGTAGAAAGTTCAACACTCTTTCACATAAGGCCACTGCACTTTCGCCCGATTTCTCTCAACATGAGGACAGGAGTGCATAACTGGTGTTTCTTATTTAATAAAAGTTATTTTTAGTGAATCAAAAACATATAACGTTACCAGTACAGTCTGATTCCTGAACAAATGACTCTAATAAGTCAGTTCTTTTAGTGAATCAGAAATATGCATCTTGATCTTACAACTAACTGTCTAACTTGTCTCAAATCAGTGGTTTGCTCCATTATGAGTTTTGTCAGTATTAATTTATAAAAGATAAATAAATGAATGAAATGTGTTGTTTACTATAGTTATGGCCAATTACTGGATTGTATAGTCTTTATTAAAAAAATAATGAATTAATTAATAAAGCCTGTGTGTAAACACATTTTGCAAGAACTGTTTTAAACTTTTTTTTTTCAATGAATTCAATATCTTTTTTTATCTCTTATTCTCCACAGGTGGAGCGAGAAATCGCCATCTTGAAGCTAATAGAACATCCCCATGTATTAAAGTTGCACGACGTCTACGAAAATAAAAAATATTTGTAAGTATAAGTATTTTGATTAAAATATTGCTGTGCTTTTTTGTATTCATGTGTAGTGTAGTGTATTATTAATAATATCTATAAAGATATTGTTAATAAAAAAATATTTAACAAAAATGAAATATGCCTAGGATTGCAATCCCAAAATGTGAGAGGACAGAGCAAAAACAAGTTTGGTGTATATAGCCTAAAAGTTTGGCAGAAATGCAAGTGTAAATGTGTTTGATCTTAAAAGGTTTTGTAAGAGAGTGATTCTGCTGGTGCTAAAACACTCCTAATGATGAAAGTGTCAAGCAGCCTGTTAGTCACAACAGTTTGAGAGCTGCTAATGGGGCCACGAATCATCCTTCATGTAAACACCATGATAATTCACTTAGCATTTTTTGGCATCAACAAATCTTCACAAAAACTATTTCTGTTTACCTCATCACTCACCTGTTTATATTTTCTTTGGTTTTGAAGCAATGCATGTGTTTTATAATTGACTTGGTATATCTTTTTTACCATTTTTACCATTCTTATGTATATACCATGGTAAATGAATATTCTATATATATTCTATGCTATTTACACTGTCATGATATTAAAGGGGTCATATGATGTGATTTCAATTTTTTCTTTCTCTTTGGAGTGTTACAAGCTCTTGGTGCAAAAAGAAGATCTGTAAAGTTGCAAAGACTAAAGTCTCAAATCCAAAGAGATATTCTTTATAGAAGTTAAGAGTCAACCACGCCTACCTAAAACGGCTCGTTCTAACACGCCCCCACATGTCTACATCACAATGTGGGAAGATTTGCATAACGCCGCCCAAATGTTCACGCAAAGAAAGAAGGCGTAACTTTTATTCTCGCTGTAGTATTGTTGGTGCCGCCACCGCCATGTCGTGAAGGCGCTGTGTTTCATTGTGAAAGCGAAACTACTTTGTTTGGCCTTCCAAAAGAGGACGATATCCTCCTAATATAATAGAATTCCATGTAAACAAAGTACACAAAGTAGTGCATATATTACTATATTTAGGCCTATGGAAAACTATCATTAATAGTTAAAGATTCCAGCTTTTTTAAGCCTTATACGGAGTCCAGCCCGGGGTCGTCACATGTGGTTGCCACAAGCCCGCAGGACGCTCCTTTGTCGAATCTGCCGGCCGTGCCGTTCTCAAGCCCGCTCACCTCCGCTCACTCTAGGCCGCGGCTCACTCTAGGCCTCCGGCCTCCGCTCACTCAAGGCCACCGTGGGTGACGCTTTTTTGTTGTGAAAGCGAAACTACTTTGTTTGGCCTTCCAAAAGAGTACACGACTAGAAATCAGTGGTTAAGTTGTATTTACAACACTGTTCCAGAACACTTCAACCCAAATATTCAGATGTGGCCAGCGCATTTTATGGAGGACTGTTTCCTGATCCTGGTAGAGTAGACTACAATGCTGGCTGTTCTGACTCACAGACTGTAAGTACGTTTTTTATATTTAAAGAATTTGCCACTGACGATTCAAATGCAAGTTTTTTGGGCAGTGTAGAGTAGCACTTGTTGTTTGTCATTTCTCCGCTCTCAAATGCAGACATGGTTTTATGATACGCTCCGGCCGGACAGGACATCACAGTATGGTAAGGGGCGTAACATTTCCGTCACACGCTTGAGGTATTCGGCCAATCACAATGCTCTGGATAGCTGGCCAATCAGAGCACACCTCGCTTTTCAGACCGATGAGCTTTGTAAAAATCTACGCGTTTCAGAAAGGCGGGGCATAGAGGAGAAACAATAATGTACAGTATGTGGAAAATAATGTGTTTTTTAACCACCGCATAAACACATTTCATTACACCAGCTACACAAAATAATGTTCTTTTTAGCAACATCATATGACCCCTTTAAGAAGTGGTATGCATAGAATGCTATTCCAAATTCAGCCATGGTTCATTGTACACAGAAGACTGCTGACTGTATTATAAAACAAAGTCAGGCCCTTCGATATATTGTGCCCAAACTTCTTATTTCAGTAAGAATTATATCAGGATAGGTAATGCCATTTCTCTCGGTCTTGTTTCTGTTTGCAGGTATTTGGTTTTAGAGCACGTGTCAGGTGGAGAGCTGTTTGACTATCTGGTAAAGAAGGGCCGATTAACACCCAAAGAAGCTCGAAAGTTCTTCAGACAGATCATCTCAGCTCTGGACTTCTGCCACAGTCACTCAATATGGTGAGTATGACCAGTCATTCCTGTACATGATGTGTTTTTATGAAAATCATTGCGGTAGTGTTCTCAGACTGAGGCAAATTATAGCAATAAGCCACTACAAACTGTGCCAAGATCTGCTTTTTGTGTCAAAAATAGATTTTATTTATTTATTTATTTTCCCTTTCAAAGGTATAACACAAACAAGCCAGAAATGTCATCTTTATTACTGTAGAAATGTATTTCTTTATTTTCCCTTTTAAAGATATTACACAAACAAGCCAGATATGTCATCTTTATTAGTGTAGAAATGTATTTATTTATTTTCCCTTTCAGAGGTATTACACAAACAAACGTCTCTAGGTTACGTATGTAACCATGGTTCCCCGAGGGAACGAGACGCTGCGTCGAGTCGCTTTGGGAACGCCCTTGCGTGACCGCGTTCTGAAGCACGTGTCAAATCCGTCCAATGGAGCAGCGAGACGTCACGAGCAGGGTGACGTAAGCACCAGAAAGCATAAAGGCACATCCGGCCGGGCGCAAACCAGCTTTGATGAAGTAGCGCCTGCAGGGATGCAGGGAGTATGGCAAAGAGACGCAGCGTCTCGTTCCCTCGGGGAACCATGGTTACATACGTAACATAGAGACGTTCCCCTTCAGGAACTTGAGCTGCGTCGAGACGCTTTGGGAACGAGAATACCCACTGCGCCATACTACCAGGACCGAGAAAAGGACGAGCCCGTCTCGGATCCCTCCGCTAAATCCACCCGCGATCCCCACGACAACAGTCTGCGCTGTGCCTCGGTAACAGCGGGACCGCTGCCAGCGGCGAGAGCGGAGCGTGCGCAGCGAGAGCTTGCAGTGATGACAATCAGCTGCTGGAAAGCTGACCGCGCATGCTCTGCTCCTAAACAAACGACACACACATCGTGTGTATCCCCTGCCGCCAGATATCGTGGGCAGGGAGAAACACAGCGTTTGTAATGCCGTTCGCTCGCCATAGACTTTCTCATTGTTTTATATATATGAGTGCTTGTGCGGACAGACAACAGTAAATAGACAGACACATACACAGAGCGCTACTGAAGAGCAGAAGCTGGTTTGCGCCCGGCCGGATGTGCCTTTATGCTTTCTGGTGCTTACGTCACCCTGCTCGTGACGTCTCGCTGCTCCATTGGACGGATTTGACACGTGCTTCAGAACGCGGTCACGCAAGGGCGTTCCCAAAGCGACTCGACGCAGCTCGAGTTCCTGAAGGGGAACCAGATATGTCATCTTTATTAGTGTAGAAATGTATTTATTTATTTATTTATTATCCTTTTCAAACGTATTACACAACAAGCCATATATGTCATCTTTATTAGTGTAGAAATGTATTTATTTATTTATTTAGAAAGCTGACCGTGCATGCTCTGCTCCTAAACAAACGACACACACATCGTGTGTATCCCCTGCCGCCAGATATCGTGGGCAGGGAGAAACACAGCGTTTGTAATGCCGTTCGCTCGCCATAGACTTTCTCATTGTTTTATATATATGAGTGCTTGTGCGGACAGACAACAGTAAATAGACAGACACATACACAGAGCGCTACTGAAGAGCAGAAGCTGGTTTGCGCCCGGCCGGATGTGCCTTTATGCTTTCTGGTGCTTACGTCACCCTGCTCGTGATGTCTCGCTGCTCCATTGGACGGATTTGACACGTGCTTCAGAACGCGGTCACGCAAGGGCGTTCCCAAAGCGACTCGACGCAGCTCGAGTTCCTGAAGGGGAACCAGATATGTCATCTTTATTAGTGTAGAAATGTATTTATTTATTTATTTATTTATTTTCCCTTTCAGAGGTATTACACAAACAAACCAGATATGTCCTCTTTATTAGGGTAGAAATGTATTTATTTACTTACTTACTTATTTACTTACTTATTTAGTCATTTATTTATGAATAATATAATATTTTATTATTTATTATCTTTTTTTTTTCTTCTTTGAGAACATTTGGTCTCCAACCTCAATCCAAAGGTGCTACACAGATAAGTAAGAAATGTGACATTTAATATAAATAAATAAATAAATAAATAAATAAATTAATTAATGTTTTTGTTTGTTTGTCTTATCATTTAATTTAATTTAATTTAATTTTTGTCATTGTTATTGAGAAAATTTGTTCTCCAACCTCAGTTGAAAGGTATTACATAAATAAGCTGGAAGTGTGAACATTATTAGGGTTGAAATGTTCCAAAGCAGATATAAAACACCAAAGAAAAGCTGATACTAACACAAAACCTCAGTAATGCATCCTAAAAGTCAGTCCAGCCTAGTCTTTCCCACCTTTTTCCCACTTAATAGATTAGAGGCGACCAGCGAGAGCCCTTCCCTCTTGTGCTCGTTAAATTTATATTCATACCTCGGGGCTTTCGATTATAAGCATATCAAGATATCAGACTCAAGCTCTTTTTTCTCTCAAAAGCCTTCCGAGGAAAGGCAAAGCGGGGCACGTCGCCTCTTATAGTTTCTCTTCTTGATTTATGATCAGAGTCCTCATCCGAACTGCTTTTTTGGAGGGTTTGGATGTGATATTTTCTATTTACATGTCCAACTGATGATTGAGTGACACGTTTTGTGTGTTTACAGGCTATTAATCATATGCCAAAAAAGAAAAATGAAAGATTGTTCATAAACTTCTTGATAGCTTTTCACCCATCAGTGGCTTTTGCACTTTTTAAGCCAAAAATTCTGCATCCAATCGATTACAGATTGCCATCACAATGAAACCGCAGCGTAAATATCCGAAGCTGTTATTTCTGTAAGCTGGTATTTTCGTTTGTTTTTGATAATTGGTCCTGTTTGGTTCACTGAAGCATAAAAAAGGGTTTTATAAATTGAAAAAGGTGAGGGCTCAACCGACGATGTATAATGATCATGTTCTTTTACAAACATCATTAGCAAATATTGACTTCTGGACCACGTCGTCAGCTTTATTCGAGCCTTTTGTTTTGCAAATATCTTGTTGCTGATACAAACGTTGAACAAATAGTGTGAAACGGTCTTTCAACCGCCGTAAGTGCACTTATGCTTACGATAAATTACGACATGATGTGCGTTAAAATGATTTTGGTCGAATCCAAATAGACATGTCGAGGAACTTTATATGGCTTTCTCTATGTTTTCCACATACTGCCAAAGACTTTTAAATGCTAATGAGACAAAATGCAAAATGAAGAGCGAAGGACGCTCATTATAGAATGATTTTCTGCAAGTTTTATTACTATTATTCATCAACAGTACATAAAATATATACAAACTAAATAGTTTTGTCGACAGTTACTTTCATCAAACCTTATTATCATCAGTACCAATTAGGTTCTGGGATGATTTTGCTTAAGAAAAACCCAGAAATCTCCAGTTTCCTCACTGCTAATTAAGACATTCCCTTACGAAAACGAAGCATTTCAGGAAGCCCCTGTGGCAAACTTCTGGCAGTGCCACAAATACATTTTCCAAGGGTTATGGTGCCGTTCATGTGCCCTCATCTCGTAAATATGATCATTCAGACGACGGTGACTTGAAGGCAGAATCTTGACTTTGAGCTGCAGCTCTGAAACACAGAGAGAAGAAAAACTGACACCTGGATAAACGAGCAAATCCTCTCATTTAACACGTAAGAGTGTTATCAAGCCGATCTATTTAAAGATAAAAGAGAGGTATTATGGGTAATCAGTGCATCACTGTGGGGTTTTTACGCCACACACATGCACATTTGCATTTGAGTGCATCCACATTACAGGCAAGATGAAAGAATTGCCTCAGAAAAAGTACTCTGGTGATACATGGTACTTTGATGGTATCAGATGGTAATACTGTGGTACCTTCATATATACTATGGAACTGAATGATTACAATAATCATGTACCATGGTGTTTACATGATATCTATGATGAGGATATGATGATGTTACCATGGTAAATGTGCAAGCAAAATAAATAAATAACACATGGTACTAATACTTTTATATTAGTTCTCTCTCAATTTATATATATATATATATATATATATATATATATATATATATAGTTGTAAACCATGATTATACTGTATATTGATACATTTGATGCGCCAAATACACTTAAATTGTGCAAATGGAAAAATAAAAAGATTTAAAATTAATTATAACAAGAAAGTGATACAGTTAACGAAAAAAAGTAAAGCATGCAATCTCAACACAATCTTTCTGTTATAAACACACACCGTCATGCACACTATGAGAGTATCATATATGATCAATGGCAGCCACACACTGATCTCAGATCAGCTATAAAGCTCTCTTTTGTGCACCTTTAGTGTGTCTGCTTAGTCCCACAGACTCAGTGTCTTGCCGTCTCTGGTCCCTGCATAGTTTCTCAGAGCTGCAGGCCTCACGCAGAGCAGCAGTAGGACAGTATGCTCCAGCAGCCATGAGAAATGTCCCTGTCATGCTGTCACACTTCCCCGGCTGTTTGCTTACTTCATATGTGACTGAGAGCTGCCCCGGCCCCTCTGATCTCATGCTGGGACAGTCAGCAGGGGATGATGCACCACCCAACACCCACCCAATATTCTCTTTTTCCTCTTCTGTCCTTTCCCATTTCAGTATTCGTCTCACAATTTGTCTTGCAGTCTGTTTGTCTTTCTGTTGTCTGTCTTTTCCTTATTGTACTCTTTGCCTTCAAACATAACTTATATATGATAATTTCCGAAACCTGCTTAGACAGCACTTTAAGGCTTCACAGGTGTGTGTGAGATGGCTGGTGCTAATGGTAGGCAGCATAATTATGCTTAAGTATGTGCATTAATTACGCTAATTATCCATTTTTTCCCGCATAATTTCAAGAATTTCCACCTCCATTTTTCACCTTTTTGGGTTAATTGATACTTTATGGTGATATAAATATTAATTGTGCAACATTGGAAAAATGTGCCCGTTGTGCCATTTCTGCAAAACTCCAAAAACATACATATAATTCGTTGCAGTTTCCAGCTGAAGTAG